TGGAAGGGTCGATTTATGTATTTTAAATGTGAATAAATACCAACTACCTTAAATCAGAACCGATTTTAACAAAATTTCGCAAGATATCAGTCTGGACCTAATTCAGTACTCTGTGCAGAATTTTGTCCAAATCGGAAAAATATTGGGAGTTTGGTGCATCATTCACAAAAAATCGGACAAAACTATACAGGGAGTTAAATCTAAATCTGAACCGATTTAAATAAAACTTCGCAGACATCAGTCTGGACCTTATCCAGTACTCTGTGCATCATTTTGTCCCAATCGGACAAATATTAGTGATTCGATGTATTATTCACCAAAAATCGGACAAAACTATATATGGGAGCCATATCTAAATTTGGACCGATTTTAACAAAATTTCGCAGACATCAGTCATGACCTAATCCAGTACTCTGTGCAACATTTTGTCCCAATCGGACAAATATTGGGGGTTTGGTGTATCATTCACAAAAAATCGGACCAAACTATATATTGGAGCCATATCTAAATTTGAACCGATTTTAACAAAATTTCGCAGACATCAAACTGGACTTAATTCAGTACTCTGTGCAAAGTTTTGTCTCAATCGGACAAATATTGGGAGTTTGGTGTATCATTCACAAAACATCGGGCCAAACTATATATGGGAGCTATATCTAAATCTGAACCGATTTCACCAAAACTTCGCATACATATAAGTATGGCCCTGATTCAGTGCGCTGTGCAAAATTTTGTCCCAATCGGACAAATATTGGAAGTTTGATGCATCATTTACATAAAATCGGAAGAAACTATATATGGGAGCTATGTCTAAAACTGAACCGATTTTCTCCAATTTCAATAGGGTTCGTCCTTGGGTCAAATAAATGAACTGTGCCAAATTTCATCCAAATCGGACCATAAATGCGACCTGTACTTGTTCACAAAAATACATGGACGGATGGACGGACATGCGTAAATCGACTCAGAAAGTGATTCTATAAATATTCTCCAAAGGAGCCATGGTTCTATATCGATTCCTTTTGCCTGTTACAAACATATGCACAAAGACAAAAGTGTGGTGATGGGTATAAAATTGTACATTTTAGGGACATATACACGGTTTTGTACATTAAAGTCTATTTTTAAAAATTTCATTTTCATTTTTTATTCTTTTACATTTTTTAAGCCATCCTAACATTTAAGCCTCTTATGGTTTGGTCATACCAACAATTATACCCACCACTGTAAGTGTATATACATACATTTGTACCACTACTATGACCCGGCATGAAGCTTTGCAAATTGCTTACTTTTACACTATTCACTTAAACGCTTCCGAGATTGTTATTCAGTTTTTCCACTTTTTTCTTTCTCTTATTTCTAACATAACAACAACGATTTACATGTGCATATATAATAATGTAAGCTACTACACATACAAACAAACGTGTTCTTTTTTACAAATAGCCTTTGCATGTATCCATCTACCTAGCAGCTTTAAACGCTTAGTAAAATTTGGCAATGGAAAGCTTATTATAAAGCCATCCACATTCGGCGGAAGCAACAAGAATGGCCCAACAAAAATTGTGAGCCGTGCCAAAAAATACTGCAAATCCCAAGTAATTTTATGCAGCTTAAAGATAATTTCTATTATTTAAAAACCAAGAAAGTATTTTTGTTATTAAAATTTATTTTCCGGAAAAGTTTTCTACAGCGTATTAGCTAAGTTGAAGTAATTTAAAAATTCTACATTGAATCATTATAAGGTATATATGGATGCCACAACAGCGAATTACTGGCATGACCATGAATCTTATTATAGAACTATGGAGGAAAATATTGCTACTGGAATATTCTTTAGTCAGTGTATATTGCGAGAATGGTATGGGAATTATAGAAAATTTATTTTTAAATTCTAAATATTTAAGTATATAGTTCCGAAAATATTAATTTTTGGTTTAAAGAATGAAATCCGTATTTTATATAGAAAATAATTCTATAAAATTTTTTTTTGTAAAAAAGAAACAAATCTTCAATTTTCATCAAAAAATGAGAAATTGTTTAGATTTAAAATAAAAACAATTAAAAATGTTTCAGTCGGTGTTACGACAGATGCATGCCCTCAGCCTATGTTGGGTGGGGGTCTGCCGAATTACTACACACTGGTTTTATTATTCTCTTTATATAGGATCTGTGACCCTTTGTTGGGGAGGTACGAGAAGATGTAAACCGATGGGTCCCCATCTTCGGATATTAAAATTATTACGATGTGTAAAATTTGTGTCAAATCGGACATTGCATTCGCATGATATTGAATTAACAAATGTTCAAAGTTTTCACACTTTGTGGGGAGTATAAGTGAAATATTACGATATTACTTTGCACCGTTTCGATGAAAATTGATTTTCCATTCGTTTCATAAAAGAAGGTACAAGAAGGGGAAGGTACAAGAAGCGAAGGACCATTAAGTCCCATCTTCCAGCAATATACAGGAATGGTCAAATATCAAGTTGTGCAAAGTTTACTTCGGATAATCCATTTCCATGATGCTATTAAATTAATTCTCAGCAGAAATTATACCATTTTTGTGGGAGGTACCAGAAGGAGTGGACCGATGGGTCTAATCTTCCAACTTGAATTAAGAAAATATTACGATGTAAGTATCTGGCATCAATTCGGACGTTTCATACCATTTTTATTGGATTAACAAATTTTCAAAATCTTGGCCATTTTTTGGGGGATGTACCAGAAGGCGTGGACCAATGGATCCCATCTTTGGATTTGATCTAGGCTAGGAAAAAAATATTACGATGAGCAAAGTTTCGATAGTTCATTCGTTCCATATAAGATTTACAAAGTTTCAAAATTTTATCCTCTTTGGGGAAGGTCGCATAATATATAAAATGGATTTTCAGCACAATTTTTTCAGTACAAGAAGCAGTGGACCTATTTCCCCATTTTCAAACATAAACTAGGATAACAACAGACTTTCCAATAGCCTAATATTGGATTTATAAATATTGAAAATGTTGACCCTGGTTCAAATTGGACAGTCCGTTCGCATGAAATTTAAAAAATAGTTGACAACAAAATGTTGACCATTTTGTGGGAGAGGAACTAGAAGGAGTGTACCGATATTCCAATTCTACGAACTTGATTTAAACCGATATTCGTCCATGAGAACCAAATGTATATAAATGCAGCCAAATCGGTTACAAAATTTTCAAAATAAGCAAATATGGGAGCATCGTTATGTGTGGACCAGAACATAGAAACGATTTTAAACCCATTTTGAACTAAAATTCCAATTTACCGCTAGTTCTTTTACAAAGCTTGCATAATACTGTATATTGGTGGGCTCCGTTATATGGGTGCTATACCAAAACGACCGATATATATATGAACTATAGAAATTTATTTAACATGCTTCGGAATGTCCGATTTGGGCCAAATATGCACCATTTTAAAGGTAACTTCATAATGTCTCTCTACAATTACCTGTATATCGGTCAACTTTATGGGTCAAATGGACCCTGACTTTTGTGTGAAAAATGACAAAATTTGTATTCTATAGCGTATATATTTACCCCTGAAGGACATAGATCCGAGAAGTTGATATTATATCCAAGAGCAGTGATTGACCTTTAAATTAATACCAATTATATTGTTGTATGTGCTGTAAATATTTACAGGTATCTCCGTATTAGTATATTATTTAGTAACCCATTATCACTCTAGAGAGCGGAACTATAGCGCTGATCGCTTTGAAATGTTCCATGAGGTTCCAGTTATGGTCCTCTCTCAATAATAATTTTGGAATGAAGTGGACTATTTTTTGTGTTATTTTCTATTTATAGACCACAAATGAAAGCCGAACATCACAACACAACCCACGGTGAAGGGAATCTGGACAATAGCTGTACTGAATACTCGTAATATTCGGAAAATATGTCAGTGTGAGGAAGAGGAGCTGGCAAGAGGGTGCAAATATCACGAAATATTGCCCAGGCTCGGAATAAACATCCGCAGAAAATTTGACCAGTTGTGTATATTTTATTATTCATTAAAGACATTTTTCAATGCAAGAAAAGTATGATAATCGATTGGTGCCAAGTCCCGAAGTTTTTGGCGAGTGTGTGGCCTGGTGGAACACGACACCTCCCGTGTTGTCCAATTCTAGATGTTTCTGGTCGATTTTTAGCTCCTGGGCGATGTTACATGCCGGCCAACTTTGTTCATTTTTCCGATTTTATCGACATTTTCGACGACCGGCCTACCTGTGTAGGGTACATATTTAACATCAAAAATTCCTGAACGGAATCTACGAAACCAAAATTGCACCATAAACACCATTCACAATTTTAGCCGCTTGGCTTACATTTTCGCCTTTGTCAAGTAAACCGAATTTTCTCTTTGTTCACATCCATTTTTAACACCCTGTAACTCACAACTAAAGGGTGCAAAATGACACCCTTGCAACGAACATAAATCTCAAATTGTTTGATCGACACTTTACAAGAAATCTATCAGTACAGCCATCTGCCGAAAAAATAATGGATTTCTTTCGTGTTAATATTAAAAAGAATTCTGATCATGAAAATATGTTCTTTATCGGGTCTCCGAATTTAAACCCCTTCATATGTATTTTTTATCAATCTTTATAAAAAAATTATAATTAAAAAATATTTCCCTAAAATTTAATTCCTTATCAACCCAATCTATATTCGTCAAAAACTCTCCAGACCAATGAGATAGTCCTTTGTGGCGAATTCACAAACCCCCTCAACAGCTGAGTGCTATTATTTGACATCGATATCGCAATCGCCATTACCGTCATCATTATTACCATAATTATCGCCATACTTAAATGGCGAATTTTATCTCTTATATCACCCGACAATGTATCGTGTTACCGGATCGTTTAGATACCACAATTGTGAAAATAAATTTGTTGTTGTTTTTGATTTGATTTTTTAATTGAAAGCAATTAAAAATTATCTCTCTGGCGCGGCACTTACCTTTGATGGCCGATCTATTTGGCCCAGGAAGAATGTCAGCAACGAAATGATGATGAAATTAACACCGCCAGCAAAATCGGTTAATTTATCCAGCTGCAGTATCGAATTGATGAGAAAGAAGAAGATCTGCATACTGACAGTGACAATGGCACTGATGGCATAGTGGTCGTAATCCAAAATATTGATGGCCATGATGGGGGAAATGGACGTCAAGGTGGTGCTGGGGTTGTCGGTGAATGTTGTTCGATTGTTGTAATCCTTGTCCTCGGCCAGAGTGTTGTGGGGTTGCTGGTTGGCTGGCTGACGGGGTTCGATACAACTATTGCCGTAACAATGTATTTGTATGAAGGTAGTTAGGTATGCGTGTGTGTGTGTGTGTCTGTGTGTTTTTCAGTTAGTATCTGGTTTTCTGGGCAGTTTTATTACTAAATCGTGTGGGCTATAATGCTGATCCTTAATTATTTGTTGTTGTTTTAGTTTTACACAATGACCGTTGTTGCTGTTTGCAGTTACCTCTATTGTTGTTGTTGTTTGTTTATTTGTTTGTAGTTAATTGATGTTAATGTTCAGTTACAGATAACGAACTTCTACCATCCAGCAAAAGCAATAGGGTACAAATAGTCGCTGTAGGTAGGACTGTCTGTTTATCTGTCAGAATGTATAGTTAGCAACAACGCCAGTTAGGTTTCGGTAATCGCCTGGTTATTATGCGACATCAGATATAAGTTCTTAAAATTTTATAAATGTTTAAAATTTCATATTGAGCAATTAATTGAACAATTTTATTTTCAGGAGGTTGCATTTTTAAGTGTTATTTGGCTTTGGGGCGTTTTTATTTCTGTGGTAGTTGTAGTTGTTTTTGGTAATTGCAGTTGTTTTTGGTAATTGCAGTTGTTTTCGTTTATCCTGCAAAAGAAAGAAAAAACCCAGAAAGATGAAAAAATAGTAAAAATTTTTTGTTGTTGTTTTGTGTATGGCTTAATTTCGGTATGAATACGGAGAGAAGGATTCGATGTACAGTGAAACAATGAAAATGTGGACTTGGATTTTTACCTCACAGAAGGCAAAATATTGTTTAAATGTAGTTTGAAATGTAAATGATGAAAATCGGATAACTAAAATATTTGGTAACTTACTCAAAATTATGTATAGCCACATAAAAATAACTAAACTCGTCGTTAAGATCGACGAAACCGAAAAGATGTTGAACTTTCACCATGTGCTGGGCATTTAAAAATACCTAATTTAGGTAGTGTCTTTTAAATGGGGACTATCGGTTCAAATCGAATAGTCTGTTCGCATGATATTATAAAAAAAATTTCAGCAAAATGTTGACCATTTTGTGTGGGAGAAGTGCCGGATGGAATGGATCGATGGGTCGCATCGTCGAACTGAATTAAAAGTTTGTTAAATTACGACGATGTGCCGAGTTTGAGTAAAATCGGACATTCCATGCGATTGGTATTGGATTAACAAATTATCAAAATTATTACCATTGGTGGAGGAGATACTAACAGCAATGCGCCGATAAGACCCATCTTCCAATAAAATACAGGCTTGGTAAAATATTTACATGATATTACAAAATAGTTTTTCAGCAAAATATTGACCAGTTTATGTGAGAGGTACCAGAAGGAGTGGGCCGATATTCCCCACCTTCGAATATGATTTAAGTTTGGAAGAAATATTGTAAGTAAGTTACTCCAATCGAGAGTTATCGTGCGCACCAGCCTGACAAACAGACGGAAGAACAGATATTTATAAATCGCCTCCAAAGTGTCTGAATGGGATTTGGTCCAAAGAAAAAATGGTCAAAATACGCTTGTAACATTTACATTGTCGATCATTATAGAGCGTTGCTGATGCCAAAATTTCTAAGTAAAAGCATTCAATGGGTACATGGTTACGAATAAGTATTGACAACACATATACGCAATACGGAACAACATATAAACTTCTATTCTATAGGCCAGTTGGAGAGAGAAAATCGTGGATATAAAAAACGATGAAACTGAAATCTGAATCCAAAGGAGTCCTTAAAGAGGAGACAATGGGAGTTTTTACAGGCGAGCTGAAGAGAAATTCTGTATCGACGAACTGAAAAGGGAATATTGATAGAAAAGCTAAAGAAATGTAGTGGAACGGTATGTAAGAGGGAAACTTTATACAGTTAAAGAGAATTTATGTTGAAAATCTTGAAATATTTGCTGTAAGAAAATATACGAGCCTACAAACATATTTACCGATGCAAATAATCAATGTATATATATATTGCACTCACTTCGTATTCCGAAAAATATCCAGAACATTTATATGAGGACTGTGTCTGAACATGAATGCATATCAAAATTTGTCAGCAAAGATTTGTACAACTTCCAAGAAAACGGAATTCAAAATTATAACCAGTTCGTTTAGAAAATATGGCCCTAAGCTTCATATCAAACATCGAGCAGAACATTTTTTAGCAAATACTTTTTACTCTTCAAGAACCCTAGAACGGGGCCTTCTGTAAGAATTTGACATGGACCTGTAGTAACTATTTGCTGTCAAGATATTTATTACCCAACCAAAAAGAAATTTCCCTATTTACCACCAAAGTCATTGTAAATTGGGTGCTAAAATATATACCGACAATGGAAAGGTATCGCCATATGGGGAATATACCGTCGATACATATATACCATTTTCAATACTAAACATCCTGGGAATAGTAGCAGTGTATGTGCAAAATGTCATTGCCTTATTTTCGATTTTAAGATCATGATTTCAGCAGACAGACAGACAAAACTCCATGAACGTAGAATTGTATTCAAGTCAGGAAATATAAAATATATAAAAAATCAACATGCGATCCCTTGAGACATTTCTTCAGAAACTACCTCACAGATATTGATTTTTTCCGCTTTACTCCTGCTCTATAGGACCTTCTATACTAAATAGAAATAGACAAAGTTTCAAAATTTTTAAAAAATCGAATCGTGGGCGTATTATACTTTTTAAATTGTGTCATTCTTGTGAGCCGTCCGACGACGAACTGTTATTGAATTTTTGATAAAAATTATATCTTAAACCATATCCAATTTGTGGAGGTTTCACTGTACTTTCATTAAACAATGTTAAGGCTTAATAAAAATATGCGTACGTACGAATATATGCATGTGTGTTTATAAAATTTACATAAACCAATATTGTGTGTGTGTGTGAATATTGTGGACCGGCACAATAACCACTGAAGCATTTTATATGATATTCTTCATTGAATGCAGCGATTGCAGAGTATTGGAATTAAGGGGTAAATAAATGGAAGAGATATATGGTTGGGATATGTCTTCATTAATATATATGTATATAAATATATGTGTATAAACGAAAACATGTATAACTGGCATATAAATCGGTTGAGGCAAAAAATCTCGAAATTCTGCATGGTGATAGGTGTTCTTTGAAACTTTTGAACTAGAGTTTAAATAGAGTGATATATTCAACGATGAAGGTCCAGTCTGTCAATTTAAGGCGCCGTTTTGGGAAGCCCATACAACGAAATACAAAAGTGCCAACGTTAAAGCCGAATCTGATAACTTTCACTTATATTATTTCCATAGAGTAATATAATCGCTTCGTAAACCTAATAACTAACCCCTCAATACAGCATCTGGATTTTTTAAAAAATCGAAATTATTTATAGTTTTGGTTTTAAAATTGCCCTTATTATTTCGACATAGAACACTCACTTGAATTTCATGAAAAAAAAAAACAATATTTAAATCAAATGTATCCGCTTTTCTAATTAGATTTTATTTCTAATTGTTAGCAATAAAGACAAAATGTCATATTCATATCTCTCAGCTCATTTCTCTTTTATGTTTACTATTTCTTATCCAACCCACACTCTTTAGTTCCTATTTCTGGATTACAAATGACTTGACAGATTTTAATTCATAAATTGTTATTTTTTTATTATTATTCCTTTGGATTTATGCAAATCATTTTTCGTCATTAAGTATTTATTGGGCTTGTAAAATTAGAAATCCATTTTAGCCATGACGATTAAATGAGTTGGTGTAATTAAATGATTAACTAAGTTAAGTAAAGTTAGTAATTAAGGTTGATGTTTATCTACAGGAAAAAAAACAAGTGAACAAGTGTCAGTCGGCGTTGGCAACATATATATATGGGCAATATTGCCAATTTTTTAACATAGCTGAAGCGGAGGTTCACCCCTTTATAACTCGGGAACTACTTAAGTATATGAACAAAAGTGAATAGTTTTGGGTTAATTGATCTGTCGTTGCAAACTGTTCATGATATTGACCTCCAAACTTTATTTTGGTGGAAGCTGTGCCTACTTTAATGTAAAAAAGTGTGTAAAAACACGTTGAGGCAAACCAGTTTTTTTATGTTCTCTATCGATTTGTGACTACGCCAGTCATTGCACGGTCTTCGTGTCAAAATAAAACTAGAAGCCAACAAAATGGGGACTACGCCCCTTATGTATCATTTTTCAAAATTTTCACTGCATCTACCTTTAAATGATGCTGACATTTTGAAGCTCGATTTTGAGTGTTTTTTTTTAATTTTACTTCTAGCTTTAATACGCAAACAGGAAGTTATAAAAATCGATTATAAGATTATTGTAGTCGCGAATCTGCGTAATTTGATATGTATTTTGTGTATGTAGTATGCACAGCTTCAGAGTAATACTCATCCGAAGTTGCGAATTTTGTGCGATCAAATTTCTAAAAAACCTATTTTTCGGGCCAAATTTTTAGATCTGTCAACTGAATGATATGGGTACCCGCGATCATAAAGGTTTTTTACGTTTCGGATGATATAAAATCTTCTTCGTGAAAATCCATCTACTAGAACGGCGGGAACTGGCCTTCCAAAAACACGAAATTTGGCAAAAAATGTTTTTGAAAATATCGCGGATTTATTTGCGTTTTCTGTGTTTCATTTCCGCTTCAATAAATGACCTCATGCGGATTTTGATCTTTCTCGAAAAGAGAACTTTAAAAACTTCAGCCGAAAGAGAGATGTACGCAATTTATCTCAAAAATAGATTTTGCTGGCACATCCATGGTTCTTAATGGACCACATTGAAATGGTATAGATCGATGTATTTTTTTAGGGTGCACACCGAAATCGGATGCGCGTTAATGGCATATGATGTTTTCGGAAATTATTCGCGTTTTAAGATTTTTTGGGTACTTCGATGTA